GTGTGTGTGTGTGTGTGTGTGTGTGTGTGTCTGTGTCTGTGTCTGTGTCTGTGTCTGTGTGTGTGTGTGTTAGACACTCTGCTGTCAGCTCCGCTCAATGTGACCATCAGAGACCTCGAGGTCAACTCGGCCATGGTGACATGGGAAATCTTGGAGGGTGACCCCGTCATTGGATTTGCCATCACCCAACAGGTACCTCTGTGAATGTTATGTGTGCTTTAATGTGAGTGTTGTCGAATATAAAAAAAATCTTAAATAAAGGCCTAGCATTCCTTGAAGAAATGACTGTGTGTTGAGAAATGAAGAAGCTGTAGACTTTAGGGAATAAAATAAGCGCATTCCATATTGTGAGATGCTACCCTTAGATTATGTATTTTGAATGACCCTCAGCCACAGCCACACCAAATTTAGGTCAAAATCTGTAAACTGGACTACATTATAGCTAATTTTGCATTTTTGAAAATCAATTTGCTGGCTTGTCATTATGTTCCAAATAGATTAATAATGGCATCACTTTAACATTACACAGTTACTTTGACTGATTATTTGAAAAATTCCCAATGGAAATGTCTCAGGATGTACAGAAAGTGTTACAGCTAGCTGTAAACCTCAGAAAGCGATGTAAATAACCATGTACCACAAAATGAAAGTCAATGTAAACAGGCTTTTAGGTAGGATTTTGGAAGAAGGCATCAACACTTAGAGCCCCCCCCAAACCCCATCCTGTTTACAAAGAATACGGAAGTTTACGAAATTTACGTAAGTTAAAAAATTTTAATTATGGAGGGAACAGTCTAGGTCTAAAATTGCTACCTACCTCCTCCATCCGAACTGTTCACCCCTTCGCCACTTACAAAGTTTACGAAATTTACAGAGGGAAAATACAAGTTATGAACAAACGAGGAGCGAAGATTGTGGCAACAACACACAACAATGAAACTGTAAAACCGCAACTTATAAACCCTCTGGCTTTATAAGACTGCAGTCCTTACTCGGTGACTCAGTACTGATAGGCTATTGTGCTTTTTTAGTGTATTTGTTAACAAAAGCTGCGTCTCATTCATAGAAATGTCTGTTAAATCTTGGTGAACCATCCAAAAGGCGCCCAGACAACCATCTAGCTTAAAGCCTAAATGTAAAGGTTTGAATGCAACCCATTTTAGCCCATCAGTTCTGTCAGATGTAAATTGTATTTCTCCAAGCTTAGGCTTCTCAAACAAAATACCCATCTACAACAGGCAAGATATTAACTGTTCATAACCTTTCCACCGAACCCCACTTCAAAATATCAGAAAAACCCTTTAAAACTCTAGATCCACTTTCATACCTTTGTCAGATGTACATTTTTTTCTCATGAAGTTTTAATGGTTTGGGTTATTTTCTTCTTTAATTACGTGGTAAATAAAAGTGCCCCCAAGGAGCCGTACTCTTTAATCCACCAGAAGCCAAATGACCTGAGTGAGCAGCCCAAGCCGGGTAATAATATACACTTCCAGCCGAGTGTTCTTGAATTGAGACAAACTCTGCTTTTTTAGGCTTAATTATATTGTGAGGAAAAGAACCCAAAGGGTTTGTATAAGCTTTTTTTCTCCCAACCATTATCCAGGAAGAAAAGTGTAGGCATTAACACAAACCAAGACCTAATAAGGAAAATTTGACTTTCCTACTGAGAGGACACCTTATAAAATTTGTTTTTAAAGCATTTTATTATGAGAAGGAGAAGAAAAGTTTTCTCTTGAGTAAGCAAACTGGGTAACCAAAGTAAATAAAGTAACAAAGGAGGTAGAAGGTGCTTATAACAAAACATTGTAATATCCACAATTTTGTCTGGTCCCTGTGTCGCCGTAGAAAAAGGATGTGCGCATGTTGAGGTTCATCCAGGAAGTGAACACCACCACACGCTCCTGTGCACTGTGGGACCTGGACGAGGACACCGAGTACATCGTCCACGTTCAGAGCATTAGCATGGGAGGAAGCAGCCCTCCCAGTCAGCCTGTGCTCTTCAGGACGCCTAAAGAGTCGGAGAAGATGGCATCCAAGAGCCCTGGTGAGTCTTTATCAAGGAATTAGGGGCATGGTTGACAGCTGCTTTGCTTTTTAGCACCAATTTAGGTGCAAATAGTCACATGCAACTCACTTCCCCTCCCTTTCTATTTTGAGGGTCATTAGTGTGTATCAAGCATGCAAGTGAGCCCAAAAGATAACAATGGTGGAAGGTGGTGCAGAACAGTTAACACTACAAACTAGTTTAATCACATGAAACACTGCCATAAATGGAAGTACGAGGAAAGCCATAAAATGCTGACGAAGGCGACGTTGGCTACAACAAATTGTCCTCCAGCAAGTGAATTGTCCTCCAGCAAGTGGTGGAAATAAATCTACTCAGCCAAGAATTCACAAGGAATATGTTCCTTACAAGCAGCAAACTAAGTGCTTGAAGGAGATAATGTGGGCCGTGGCATATGCTGCATTACTAAAGATGTGCTGCCACTCCACATTGTGGGAAAGGTGGGTTTCAGTTAACAGCTTACTGCTTAACCTGTTAAAATATAGCAGTTAGTTTGACTTATGATTTGTAAGTATAATTGTATTAATTGTCATATTTATAGTTACCAGATAAATACCATATTTAATCGTGATTAATTATTTTTGCGATTATCGCCCAACCCTGTTAGTCAATGAAGTAACTGATGTGTATGATATAACTCATAGACTGTTTAGATTCTAAACAGTCTGAGTTATATCATACATAAATAATAAATAAACAACAGGCTAGCATGAGCTAATCAACTAGTTTTACTTTTTGTATTAGTGTTGATCACATACATTATTTTCATACTAATTTATTTCTGTTGTGAGTTTAAAAAACACTATATATATA